CTTGTGTGTAAGTGTTTGGATATTTCTGAAATTGTACTACAAGGTTCCATATCACAAAGGGAAAGCTGGAATTGAGTTTGGGGGTAATTGCCGAAACATTTAGGAATTGGGGGCCAAAAAGGGGCCAAAAATAAGCATTTTTCTAGTTTCCAGACAATAACTTGTGTTCAAGTGTATGGATCTCTCTGAAATTGTACTGCAAGGTACCATACCACAAAGGGAAGGCTGGGATTGAGTTTGGGGGTGATGAATCATAAGGGGGTTCAAAAAATTTGGGGGGGGGGGATTTTTTTTGTTTTCTTTTTTTTTCTTTTTTTCCTTTTTTTTTTCTTTTAAAATTTTCCATTTTAAGTTGGTTATTTCTGATTAATATTTAAAAGCAAATAATAATGATATGGTAGGAGATACACACCAAACAGGATGTGTAAATTATTATATAATAAGTATTGTGCAATAGCAAGAAATTTTCAATTGCACAGTATTGCACAATTGCAAGAAATCTTCAATTGCACAGTATTGCGCAATAGCAAGAAATCTTCAATTGCACAGTATTGCGCAATAGCAAGAAATATCCAATAGCACAATATTGCGCAATAGCAAGAAATTGTCAATTGTACAGTATTGCACAATAGCAAGAAATATTCAATTGCACAGTATTATGCAAAAGAAGATACTTCGTATAAATTGCTTATTTCTTGATCAATTTCAATGGGGTTTTATTCTTGAATTCTTGGGGTTCTTTAATATGCTGAATCTAACCATGTATTAAGTTTTTGGATTTTGGGCCCCGTTTTTAAATTGGTCCACATTGAGGTCCAAAGGGTCCAAAATTTAACTTTGTTTGATTTCATCAAAAATTGAATTATTGGGGTTCTTTGATATGCCGAATCTAACCGTGTATTTAGATTCTTAATTTTTGGTTCTGTTTTCAAATTGGTCTACATTAAGGTCAAAAGGGTCCAAAATTAAACTTAGTTTGATTTTAACAAAAATTGAATTTTTAGGGTTCTTTGATATGCTGAATCTAAACATGTATTTAGATTTTTGATTATGGGCCCAGTTTTCAAGTTGGTCCAAATCGGGGTCCAAAATTAAACTTTGTTTGATTTCAACAAAAATTGAATATATGGGGTTCTTTGATATGCTGAATCTAACCATGTATTTAGATTTTTGATTTTTGGGCCCCGTTATCAACTTTGTCCACATTGAGGTCAAAAGGGTCCAAAATTAAACTTTGTTTGATTTCATCAAAAATTGAATTCTTGGGGTTCTTTGATATGCTGAATCTAACCATGTGTTTAGATTTTTTATTTGTGGACCCGCTATCAAATTGGTTCATATTGAGGTCAAAAGGGTCCAAAACTAAACTTTGTTTGATTTCATCAAAAATTGAATTATTGGGGTTCTTTGATATGCCAAATCTAACCGTGTATTTAGATTTTTAATTTTGGGTCCCGTTTTTAAATTGGTCTACATTAAGGTCCAAAGGGTCCAAAATTAAACTTAGTTTGATTTTAACAAAAATTGAATTCTTGGGGTTCTTTGATGTGCTGAATCTAAACATGTGTTTAGATTTTTGATTATGGGCCCAGTTTTCAAGTTGGTCCAAGTTGGGGTCCAAAATTAAACTTTGTTTGATTTCAACAAAAATTGAATATATGGGGTTCTTTGATATGCTGAATCTAAACATGTATTTAGATTTTAGATTTTTGGCCCAGTTTTCAAGTTGGTCCAAATTGGGGTCCAAAATTAAACTTTGTTTGATTTCAACAAAAATTGAATATATGGGGTTCTTTGATATGCTGAATCTTACCATGTATTTAGATTTTTTATTTGTGGGCCCGCTATCAAATTGGTTCATATTGAGGTCAAAAGGGTCCAAAATTAAACTTTGTTTGATTTCATCAAAAATTTAATTATTGGGGTTCTTTGATATGCCAAATCTAACCGTGTATTTAGATTTTTAATTTTGGGTCCCGTTTTTTAAATTGGTCTACATTAAGGTCCAAAGGGTCCAAAATTAAACTTAGTTTGATTTTAACAAAAATTGAATTTTTGGGGTTCTTTGATATGCTGAATCTAAACATGTGTTTAGATTTTTGATAATGGGACCAGTTTTCAAGTTGGTCCAATTTGGGGTCCAAAATTAAACTTTGTTTGATTTCAACAAAAATTGAATATATGGGGTTCTTTGATATGCTGAATCTAAACATGTATTTAGATTTTAGATTTTTGGCCCAGTTTTCAAGTTGGTCCAAATTGGGGTCCAAAATTAAACTTTGTTTGATTTCAACAAAAATTGAATATATGGGGTTCTTTGATATGCTGAATCTTACCATGTATTTAGATTTTTTATTTTGTGGGCCTGCTATCAAATTGGTTCATATTGAGGTCAAAAGGGTCCAAAATTAAACTTTGTTTGATTTCATCAAAAATTGAATTATTGGGGTTCTTTGATATGCCAAATCTAACCGTGTTTTTAGATTTTTAATTTTGGGTCCCGTTTTTTAAAATTGGTCTACATTAAGGTCCAAAGGGTCCAAAATTAAACTTAGTTTGATTTTAACAAAAATTGAATTCTTGGGGTACTTTGATATGCTGAATCTAAACATGTGTTTAGATTTTTGATTATGGGACCAGTTTTCAAGTTTGTCCAAGTTGGGGTCCAAAATTAAACTTTGTTTGATTTCAACAAAAATTGAATATATGGGGTTCTTTGATATGCTGAATCTAGCCATGTATTTTGATTTTGGACATTGGACCATAATAGGTAAATTAAAAAAATTGAAGTTCTTAGACCACATTCTTTCTGTGTCAGAAACCTATGCTGTGTCAAATATTTAATCACAATCCAAATTCAGAGCTGTATCAAGCTTGAATGTTGTGTCCATACTTGCCCCAACTGTTCAGGGTTCGACCTCTGCGGTCGTATCAAGCTGCGCCCAGCGAAGCATTTTATTATATTATATGATTGAAACCATCAACTTACTCCATGAGGTGTCAACCTTAACCCCTTTTAGTCAATACTATAATAGATGGATAAAAACTGAAAACTGTAAAAATGAATTTTCTTTTATTTACCTGTGAAACTTTATTGTGGAAGCCGTGTCATCAAGAATGTTACATTCATTTTAAAATGAAGGTTAATCTCAGAATGACGCAAGATTGCTGTTAGCCAATCAAAATAACGTATTATAATGAAACATACATGTAATGTAATTATTGAAGAATATAAGGTGTACAATATAAAATTGAGAATGGAAATGGGGAATGTGTCAAAGAGACAACAACCCGACCATAGAACAGACAACAGCAGAAGGTCACCAACAGGTCTTCAATGCAGCGAGAAATTCCCGCACCCGGAGGCGTCCTTCAGCTGGCCCCTAAACAAATATATATACTAGTTCAGTGATAATGAACGCCATACTAAACTCCAAATTGTACACAAGAAACTAAAATTAAAAATAATACAAGACTGACAAAGGCTAGAGGCTCCTGACTTGGGACAGGCGCAAAAATGCGGCGGGGTTAAACATGTTTATGAGATCTCAACCCTCCCCCTATACCTCTAGCCAATGTAGAAACCATATCAATTGATTGAAACCATTATTGCGAACCAAATGAAAGTCTTCCACAGAGTCCTCTGCTCTTGACCAGGGTATTTAAACTTTTGTCTATTCTCTTGTCCTATTGAATAAATACAATAGCTAATGTTCTCTGTGTAGTTTTTCACTGGGACCTTTAAATTTCTTCTAGGAGAAATCTATCACTCATTGATTAATTTATCTGACCAAAAAATTATCTTCTTTTTTGGGGGAAATAGTTGTATAAACTCGCATAAACTGCATGCAATATTGTATTTAATCAATATCAATAATATGTTTTCAATCTGTTCAATATAAACACTGATTTAATTATAAAAAGTTTTTTTCTGACAAAATTTTTAGTATTGTTCCAATGAGTTTGCATGTTTTTGTTGTTGTTCAGTTATAGAATACATTTATCAAGACCTTAATTTAAACACAATAATTTTCAAGTTTTTATTTGTCAAACACACAAAAAAAAGCAAATTTTAATAGGGAAAATATAAAAAATTTGTTAAGAAATCAACTTTTAATTTTTGAATCAGTGTTTATATTGAAACTATTTGATATTGAATAAATACAGCACCACATGCAGTTTTTTGAGTCCTTATTTAGTATTTGTACATGTATTTTCATTATTGACAGTTCAATTTTTTGTTCAGGTAAATTAATCAGTGAGTGATAGATTTCTCTTGGAAGAAATTTAAAGGTCCCATCAAATAAACTACACAGAGAACAATAGCTATTATATTTATTAGATGGGACAAAAGAACTTACAAAAGTTTGAATCGACAGGTAACTTGCAGGTGAATCTGTGGAAAAGTATCATTTGGTTCGCATTATTGACAGGTAACTTGCAGGTGAATCTGTGGAAAAGTATCATTGGGTTCGCAATAATTGCTTCCTTATTAGAGTTATTGCCAACAATTCACAATATAAAGCAGACATTAACAAAAGAAGGTATACATTGTGTTGCAATGTGGGTAGCATTGCATCATAGGTAATTGCTCAAGTGATAAATTTATTACTGCACAAATATTAGCTTCTATAAAAAGCTTGCTGTCTCAAAAAAAAAAGTATTTTTGGCATCAATTGTAGTTGCATCCATTCAAAATATTCTGTATATATTATTGTAGTGGTATTACATATGATAATTTACATCCATTGACATGCTGCTATTTTATAGTCAAGTCATATTGTTTACCTCACAGCAACAACAATGCTTGGAGTTCTTTTCACATTTAGGAATTCGATGTTGATGTTGATGTAGATCCTTGGTAATCTGTCCTGTTTTGTCCTGTCCTGTCTTTGCAGTACAATACACTGCACTGCACTGCATAGCAAATAAAGTAGAAAATATTGATAAAGTAAGTTCTTGTGAAAGTTTAAATTATTGATCAATTAATGTAATTTCAGATTCCATTACTCCTCCAAAGCCTGATGAGGAAGACGTTTTAAGAGACACTTTATATACACAGGGTCTTGACATGGAGTCAGTTTTGGGTTCTGCAGGAAATTTTGAGTTGCCAGAATCATCACAAAATTTACAAATGGATAAGACACAGACTGCTGGACAAGGTGCAAATGGAGCTGGGTCCAATCATGCAGGTCGCAGCAAGGAGGAACTTGCAGAATTAATGAAGAAATTAGGTGTTGGAGAAGGAGTAAGAAATCCTAATGGTAATATGGAAGATGATTCATTTGAGGGGGAAACCGGACAAGGAAGAGGTTTGAGGGCAATTGGAAGTGGACAAGGAGGAGGAATGCGAGGAAATTTCTCAGGGATAAATGAAATTCCAGGAATGGATGGAGTGCAAAATTTAACACCAGGAATGAATGGAATGCAAGGAGGATTTTCAGGATTTGAAAATATGGGAATACAGTCTCCAAGTGGAGGGCAGCAAGAGCAAACTGAAATGTCACAAGAAGAAATGCTTATGTTTAAGGGCTTAGAAAATTTAGGAGAAAAAGATAAAGAAGCAGCCCTTTTAGCAATGGGTGGACCAGAATTACTCCAGCAGTATCACCAATCTATTGGACCAGCTATGCAGCAAATGAGAATGGAACCTGGAAGTGGAATGATGATGGGATCAGGAAGAGGAGTGATGATGGGATCGGGAGTCAGTGGGTTAAATGGATCAGGAAATATACCAGTAGACGGAGGAATGCTACAAAATGGACAGAAGAGAGTGCCAGGAGGAGGTGGAATGCTTGGAGGAAGAGGCATGTCATCTTATCAAAACAGAAGAGGACAAGGGCATGGTAGAGGGAATCCAGGAATTGGTGGTAGAGGGATACCAGGAATGAATGGTGGAGGGATACCAGGAATGAATGGTGGAGGGATTCCAGGAATTGGTGGTAGAGGGATACCAGGAATGAATGGTGGAGGGATACCAGGAATGGGACGTGGAGGGATTCCAGGAATTGGTGGTAGAGGGATTCCTGGCATGGGCAATGGGGGGAATGGTGAAATGAATCAAGAAAATGTGATGCAGATGCTTCAACAGTTTCAGATGCTTGAGTCAATGTCGGCTAAGGACAAAGAAGAAGCTCTCATGCGAATGGGAGGGCAAGATTTTGTTCAGATGTACAGTGAAAAAATAGCACCCTTAATGCAACAAATGGGGATGGGGCAAGGTGGTTCGCTAAATTCCTTGGCAGGTGGAGGTAGTATGGGGCAGGGTGCAGGAGGGATTGATCAAGGAGGTTTTCAAGGAATGTTTGGAGCTGGGACTGCAGGTGGAGGTGGAGGAGGAACGTTTGGTCCAGGGGTTTCAGGATTAGGTGGAATGCTTGGTGGTGGGGGGATGGGTGGTGGATCAAATACAGGAGACCTTTTTGGACATGGAGGTCAGGGAAATTTAGGAGGACTTTTTGGTTCGGGAGGAAGAGGAAGAGGGCAACCTAGTGGCCAGGGAACTCGCCATAGACAAATTGATGCCAAAACCTTGGAAGGATTGCAAAATTTAAGTGAAGAGGACAAAAAAGCAGCATTACAAGCTTTGGGAACTGACCCCGACATACTTCAACAAAGCAATTTAGGTACAAGCACTCAAGGAGACACTAACGATGCCCCACAACAAAGGTATAAGAACTATGAACCTCCACCTGAGCCTTATGACCCAACAGGCCCAGGAATGTATCAGTTCCACCGTAGGCAACCACTTCAACTACCTATACATAGCGGAGGTGCAGAAAGTCGCCGAAAAATGGATTGCATGATGCCGATGAGTCGACGGAAGAGAAGATTTGGTGAAAGGGTAATAGTCAGAAGTGAGTCATAATCATATTACAATGTACTGTAGATTCAGAAAGTTTTGCATGCATTTATTATTGTCATTCTTGAACAAATTAAGATTAATTTTAGAAAATGCTGGATACAATTACATGTAATACTTTAAAAATTCTAATTGCAAGTTTTCATTTTTGTAAAAACATATCCCTTGCTATTTTGGCAATATTCATAACATCATAAAAATTTCTGAATTTACAGTATTTTTATTTTTTGTGGTGAATAGGGATAAAAGAAGCAAGCTGTAGAACAGTGTTATATTTTGAGACTGATATGTTTGCAGGAAAACACTTTTTGCTAAATAGAAAAGATGAAAAAATAAAACATAAGTAAATAACTATTTCTTCCAAATATCTGTTAAATAATTATTATATTTCATCTGTCAAGTATTTTGTTTTACATTCTTTAGTTCCTCAGTTAAGCTGTTTACTAGATGAATGTTTCATCAGAATTCCTCTTTCATTTGTGTCATATGTCTTTTAGAGGCACATCTAGGATTCTTTAGAATTTTATTGAATTTATATCAAAGGTTTATCTCTGCAGTGTCTCTCATTTACAAAAGTCAGGTCACTCTGACCTTGACCTTTTGACCCCTATTATAGTAAAAAAATTTTGTTACCTTGTCCAAAATATATCTTTTGAACTGTTAAACTTAAGTTTACCAAACTTGGTATGCAGTTGCATCATGGGCTAAAGTCAGATAACTCTGACCTTGACTTTGACCCCAATGGCGAAATCTTAATACTGAATTTTACAGCAGCAATTAAAATGCATGATTGGGGAGTATTAATCCCACTATGCAGACAGCTCTAGTTTTTACAGGAGTTGTCTCTTTAAAATGTAAATTTTATAGAAAATTGCAATGTTAACACTCTCTGACATAAATTTCATTTCAGTTTTATATATGCTCTTTGGTCAAGTTGTTGTCTCTTTGACATATTCCCCATTTCCATTCTCAATTTTAATAATGATAATAATAATATAATAATGCTTTGATTAAAGAGGGTTACACAGTCAGCTATAAAACTAATCTTCCCTGAGACCCTCATGAAATACATTGAAATATAACAAAGAAAAAAATACAAAATAATCAAACAAACACACACATAAGAAATCAAAAATCAAAGAGAAATTGTTATGAAATATAATTTTCAAAACAGGTAAAAAAAATTGATGAATTCATAAAGTAATGGCATCATTCAAATAATTTCAACAATAATTAAAGTTTAAGTAAATGTGTAAAAAGTTATTATGCATATAAAATTCAGAGCTGCTTAATGTTCCAACGAGTAATTTTAAAAAAAATTTTTGAATGAACTTGTACTTGAGGTAGATTTTTTCAGGGATATTGGTAAGTTATTCTTTAAAAATAGATCCTGAATACATAAAAAATTTCTTATACTGCTCTGTTTTGGCACCTACAATTTTTTGTAAGAAATATTCCTCAAACAATATTGGTTTATTTCTGGCATGTCTTTAAATTTGTCAGTTAATTTTCAGGGGCTTCATTCTTCATGCATGTATGCATCAAAACAGATTTATGGTATGAGATTCTGTTCTCTACTGACCCGAGAACACAGTTATTTCGTAGTGCATTTCTTTTAGACAATAAATTCAAATTAAAAAAATTGCACCTGCTCTATCTCAAAAAGACTTTTACAGTGTAGTGTACTACTATTGATACAAATAATATCAAAATTATAGAAACTTCTACCAGCTCTAAATCAAAATATTGACAATTCTGTGTTAAGAGGGGCTAAAATTCAGTTTGACAGCTTCAGACATTCTAATTTTTGACCTTTTTTAACTGGACCAAATCACTACTTAACATAAAGATTCAGCACCCAAATTTTTTTATACGACCGCGAACAAATTTTGCGGTCGTATATTGGTATGACGTTGGCGTCGTCATCGTCGTCCGAAGACACATTGGTTTTCGCACTCTTACTTTAGTTTAAGTGAATGGATCTCCATGAAATTTTACCATAAGGTTCAATACCACAAAAGGAAGGTTGGGATTGATTTTGGGGGTTATGGTACCAACAGTTAAGGAATTAGGGGCCAAAAAGGGGCCAAAAATAAGCATTTTTGTAACTTCCAGACATAACTTGTGTGTTAGTGTATGGATCTCTCTGACATTGTACCACAAGGTACCATATCACAAAGGGAAGGCTGGGATTGATTTTGGGGGTAATTGCCTCAAAATTTTAGGAATTAGGGGCCAAAAAGGGGCAAAAAAACAAGCATTTTTCTAGTTTCAGGACAATAACTTGTGTGTAAGTGTATGGATCTTTATGAAATTGTACTACAAGGTTCCATATCACAAAGGGAAAGCTGGAATTGAGTTTGGGGGTAATTGACCAAAAAGTTTAGGAATAAGGGGCCAAAAAGGGGCCAAAAATAAGCACTTTTCTAGTTTCCAGACAATAACTTGTGTTCAAGTGTATGGATCTCTCTGAAATTGTATTGCAAGGTACCATACCACAAAGGGAAGGCTGGGATTGATTTTGGGGGTAATTGCCTCAAAATTTTAGGAATTAGGGGCCAAAAAAGGGCAAAAAAGCAAGCATTTTTCTAGTTTCAGGACAATAACTTGTGTGTAAGTGTATGGATCTTTATGAAATTGTACTACAAGGTTCCATATCACAAAGGGAAAGCTGGGTTTGAGTCTGGGGGTAATTGCCCTAAACGTTTAGGAATTTGGGGCCAAAATGGGGCCAAAAAACAAGCATTTTTCTAGTTTCCAGACAATAACTTGTGTTCAAGTGTATGGATCTTCCTGAAATTGTTCTGCAAGGTACCATACAACAAAGGGAAGGCTGAGATTGAGTTTGGGGGTGATGAATCATAGGGGGTTCAAAAAAATAGGGGGGGGGGAATTTTTTTTCTTTAAAATTTTCCATTTTAAATTGGTTATTTCTGATTTATATATAAAAGCAAATAATAATGATATGGTTTGAATAGGTAAATTAAATTTTTTTAAGTTCTTAGACCACATTCATTCTGTGTCCGAAACCTATGCTGTGTCAAATATTTAATCACAATCCAAATTCAGTGCTGTATCAAGCTTTAATGTTGTGTTCATACTTGCCCCAACTGTTCAGGGTTCGACCTCTGCGGTCGTATCAAGCTGCGCCCAGCGGAGCATTTTATTAACATGTAATTTCATCCCCTTACTTAATATTTCATGCATAAAATATCAAGAAATAAATTGGAAAAGTGTATAAAAAAAAAAAGCAAGTTATACACTGTTCACACTAGGGACTATATTCGTAGACAACGAAAACCTAAGGACGATAACTGTGTTCTTGGACCTAATAGGATAGAAAGACTTGACCAATTTTAATAAAACTTTGCATGACCTAAGCTTCGGAATTTACAAGATAGTTGGCCAAGTTTCATGGCCATAGGATATATATTATAGAAACTAGGGCCATTTTCATATTGAAATTTGGATGTTTATTTTTGACGTTTAAATCAAATATTTTCAACTGTCAAGATTTTGGCCTAAAAAATTTAAATATTGCAAAAATTTGCCTTTTAAATACTCTTAAATATAATATAATAAGTATTAAAAGCAAAGGTACACTCATTTGATTTATCAGATTTATCACAGTTATTCAAAAGTCAAATTTATATGAGCCTGTGCCTGAAAATAGAGATTTTCGAATTAAGGGAAGTCTTACATAAACATGCATTTTTAACCAATTTGAAGTTTTTGAAGTTTTTTAACCATACATTATTCTTCCATATATATTAAATGTACTTTAAATGTAAAGAAAAGTTACAAAAAGCATACCACATAAGTATAAAATGGTCTTAGGCCATGTAAGACTGAGAATTATTTAGAGTCGATTTAGGCCGTAGCCCATATTTACATATAAAAATGCACACAGAGGCTATAAGAAATGGAAATTTGTTACTTTTTGCTCATTTCTATGCTAAGATGATATGATACAAGAAGTCTAATTGCAAAAGGACTCTTGAATTCAACTTTTTTTTTGCAGACAGTATGGTCTGATGACCAGTTTTTCACTTTTCAATGGAAAACTTGCATGTAGTTTTAGTCTCAATTGGCATATATTTGAACCACTTACTATCCTAAAGAAGAAAGTTATGGTAGCATATGAAATGAATAGGGTGAACTGATCATTGTAAAGTGGTTTTTTTTACAGATTTAGTGAAATATTTGTGATGGACTACAGATTTTATGTACAAAGCTCTTCACATTTCACATACATCAAACAGGACGTTTAACCAGGGACATAAATACAAATATTCTGCACATTTTTTCTGTGATAATCTACTTTTCTCAAGATTCAGAGTTCACAAATGGTTAACTAAATTTGATTTAAGCATAGAAACACAAATATCAGGAACATAAAAAGCTGTCAGATAGAAAGTCAGCATGGCTCTTAGGCATAAAATGGAAACTGCTTTAAAATGCTTATTTTAGGACATTTTGACAGAATTTCTGTCAATCAAAGATGGAAAACCTTTACTTTTATTGAGTTTGACAAATTGAAACCAGCAAACCATTCAGGAAAGTTGCCAAAGTACAGAATCTACATTTACGGAATTCATCTCTTAGGCCCGAGAACACAGTTATTTCGTAGTGCATTTCTTTAGGACAATAAATTCAAATTAAAAAAATTGCACCTGCTCTATCTCAAAAAGACTTTTACAATGTAGTGTACTACTATTGATACAAATAATATCAAAATTATAGAAACTTCTACCAGCTCTAACTCAAAATATTGACAATTCTGTGTTAAGGGGGCTAAAATTCAGTTTGACAGCTTCAGACATTCTTATTTTTGACCTTTTTTAACTGGACCAAATCACTACTTAACATAAAGATTCAGCACCCAAATTTTTTTAACATGTAATTTCATCCCCTTACTTAATATTTCATGCATAAAATATCAAGAAATAAATTGGAAAAGTGTATAAAAAAAAATGCAAGTTATACACTGGTCACACTAGGGACTATATTCGTAGACAAAGAAAACCTAAGGACGATAACTGTGTCCTTGGACCTACTGTCATCCACCTAAGTTGTTTAAACAGTGGTGCTGATGCTGAAAGTGCCCGATCAGCATCTTAAATTAGTCATGCAGCCCTTTTCTGCAGTTTTATTATTCTTACTAGCTCATTTTTAGCATAACCAGTCCAAATAATACAACAATAATCAATCAGTGGGAGGATATAACCATTATAAAATAAATTTCTTGATCTTTAAGAGAGTAATTGAAATCTAGATGATATTGATGAACATAAGTAATTAACATGGCCTGTCCATGATAGATTAGAGTCAATTCTAACACCTAACATTTTTTAATTGATGATTTTTTTAAGAATATTATTCTCAATAGTTAGAACTGGTTCTGCTTGATGGAAACACAATACAATGTATATCGAAAGAGCTAAAAAATCAGCACCAATATACTATTGCTACAAGTGTTGCATTCCTTTGAAATGTAAATTTTGGAAAATTGCAGTGTAAGCTTTCTTAAGCTTACATTTCTTGTCAGATTTTTATAGAACTTATATCGGCAATGTATGGGACAAGTTTGAAAATCAGAATCGATCAACAATTTATACAGGAGTTATGTCCTTTTGAAATGTAAAAATATATGGAAATTTGCATTTAAGTGCTCTCAAGCCTACATTTCTTGCCAGTTTTTAGTTCCCTACCGACGAATTCGAAGGGGACTTTAGGCTTGCACTCCGTCCATCTGTCTGTCTGTCTGTCTGTCTGTCTGTCTGTCCATTCGACAGTCCAGCAAATCAGTTTTCCACACTTTTTTTCTTCGTCCTTGAAGATATTGATTTGATATTTGGTGTATTGTTTTATCATGACAAGTTACAGATAAAGTTAGAATTTTGTTCCTGTCTGATGATTTTGTGCAGAGTTATATGGTCCTTGGACTTAGAAAATTCACTCAAATAATAATTTTTCCTCACTTTTTTTCATCATGCTTGAAAATGTTGATTTGATAATTGGTATATAGTTTTATCATGACAAGTTACAGATCAAGTTCGAATTTTGTTCCGGTCTGATGATTTTGTGCAGAGTTATGGTCCTTGGACATAGAAAATTCACTTAAATAATCACTTTTCTACACTTTTTTTCATCATGCTTGAAGATATTGACTTCAACAATGAGCAAAACCAATAATGTAAAAAAAAAAGCCTCAACATGACAAAATGAGAAATAATTCAAAGGAGAAACCAAGGGCCTAATTTATAACAAAAAAAAAGAACTATAAATAAAACATATTAGTACTTTTATTTTTGTTAAATTAGAAAGATCATTAATAATTGCTTTTGTTTATGTATTTGACTAGATTTTAAACAATTGTTTGTGCCAATCAACTGTGCCATATGGTATGCCTTATACCATTCTGTTTTCCCATTTGTCTTTCCAGTCTAGGGTTGTGGGATTTTTATAAGCATCCAGCATGGTATCCATGTAAATTTTATGATTATTTGAATGATATTGATTTAGTTTTTTTAATTTATTTCATTAGCTCATGGTTCCAGCATTGATTTAGAAGGTTATTACAAACATCTGATCGATAAATGGTCAAAAGATGGTAAGTACAGTAAATCCTTGATTATACTACAGTGTTAAGCAAAAAGTATTCATCACCTTCACTTTTGTGCTAAATATTTCATATGAAACTATGTTTTTATGCGCATGCCGCTAGGCGAGGGGGGCATTAAGATTTACCCTTCTGTACGTCACATATTGGTTTCTGTTCTCTAACTTTAGTTTGCCTCAACCAAATATTATGAAACTTGTACACAATGCTTATTTCCACCAAACACAGATCATGTTCATATTTGGATGGCCTCAATTTAACTGTTCTTAACTTATGTCCCTTTATAAGTTGAGAAATTGCTGAATTTGCTGTTTCCTCACTCTAACTTACAGTTGGGTGCAAACCCATGAACTACATGTAAATAGGCGGAAAAAGTTAACGCAGCGTTCAGTCACATGCACTCATGTAAACACCCTGTTTAACTCGGCATTAACTCCAAAATTTCAGTAAACATAAAAACAACACATGTCCAGACCAAGTATTGGTCTTGTATTTAGCGTAATTTTCCCATATGCTTGCTATATATATGATGCATACATGAAAAAACAAATTATGAAGGTGTCTGAAAAACATTGTTATCTTCTTCTTTTGGGACACATTAATATTATAACAAATTTTAGAAAACTTCGTCAGCTTCAACTCAAAATTTGGACAATTCTAATTCAGTTTTGCAGCTTCAGACCTACCAGTACTCATATTTTTATACGACCGCAATTTGCGGTCGTATATTGGTATGACGTTGGCGTCGTCCTGCGTCGTCCGAAGACACATTGGTTTTCGCACTCTAACTTTAGTTTAAGTGAATGGATCTCTATGAAATTTTACCATAAGGTTCAATACCACAAAAGGAAGGTTGGGATTGATTTTGGGGGTTATGGTACCAACAGTTAAGGAATTAGGGGCCAAAAAGGGGCCAAAAATAAGCATTTTTGTAACTTCCAGACATAACTTGTGTGTTAGTGTATGGATCTCTCTGACATTGTACCACAAGGTTCCATATCACAAAAGGAATGCTGGGATTGATTTTGGGGGTAATTGCCTCAAAATATTAGGAATTAGGGGCCAAAAAAGGGGCAAAAAACAAGCATTTTTCTAGTTTCATGACAATAACTTGTGTGTAAGTGTTTGGATATTTCTGAAATTGTACTACAAGGTTCCATATCACAAAGGGAAAGCTGGAATAGAGTTTGGGGGTAATTGCCCGAAACGTTTAGGAATTGGGGGCCAAAAAGGGGCCAAAAATAAGCATTTTCTAGTTTCCAGACAATAACTTGTGTTCAAGTGTATGGATCTCTCTGAAATTGTACTACAAGGTACCATACCTCAAAGGGAAGGCTGGGATTGAGTTTGGGGGTGATGAATCATAAGGGGGTTCAAAAAATTTGTGGGGGGGGAATTTTTTTTTTTTTCCTTTTTTTTCTTTTTTTCCTTTTTTTTTTCTTTTAAAATTTTCCATTTTAAGTTGGTTATTTCTGATTTATATTTAAAAGCAAATAATAATGATATGGTAGGAGATACACACCAAACAGGATGTGTAAATTATTATATAATAAGTATTGTGCAATAGCAAGAAATTTTCAATTGCACAGTATTGCACAATAGCAAGAAATCTTCAATTGCACAGTATTGCGCAATAGCTAGAAATCTTCAATTGCACAGTATTGCGCAATAGCAAGAAATATCCAATAGCACAATATTGCGCAATAGCAAGAAATTGTCAATTGTGCAGTATTGCGCAATAGCAAGAATTATTCAATTGCACAGTATTGTGCAAAAGAAGATATTACCAATAAATTTCTTGACCAATTTCAATGGGGTTTTATTCTTGAATTCTTGGGGTTCTTTAATATGCTGAATCTAATCGTGTATTAAGTTTTTGGATTTTGGGCCCCATTTTTAAATTGGTCCACATTGAGGTCCAAAGGGTCCAAAATTAAACTTTGTTTGATTTCATCAAAAATTGAATTATTGGGGTTCTTTGATATGCCGAATCTAACCGTGTATTTAGATTCTTAATTTTTGGTTCCGTTTTCAAATTGGTCTACATTAAGGTCCAAAGGGTCCAAAATTAAACTAAGTTTGATTTTAACAAAAATTGAATTCTTAGGGTTCTTTGATATGCTGAATCTTAACATGTATTTAGATTTTTGATTATGGGCCCAGTTTTCAAGTTGGTCCAAATCGGGGTCCAAAATTAAACTTTGTTTGATTTCAACAAAAATTGAATATATGGGGTTCTTTGATATGCTGAATCTAACCGTGTATTTAGATTTTTGATTTTTGGGCCCCGTTATCAACTTTGTCCACATTGAGGTCAAAAGGGTCCAAAATTAAACTTTGTTTGATTTCATCAAAAATTGAATTCTTGGGGTTCTTTGATATGCTGAATCTAACCATGTATTTAAATTTTGGATATTGGACCATAATAGGTGAATGTCCAGTTTAAAATTTTTAAGTTCTTAGACCACATTCATTCTGTGTCAGAAACCTATGCTGTGTCAAATATTTAATCACAATCCAAATTCAGAGCTGTATCAAGCTTGAATGTTGTGTCCATACTTGCCCCAACTGTTCAGGGTTCGACCTCTGCGGTCGTATCAAGCTGCGCCCTGCGGAGCATTTTATACCTTTTGCAACTGGACCAAATCACAATAATTTAACCCAATTTAGGGACGGAAAAATACCTTTTGATTTTAGGGTCACTGTTACTTAAAATAGATCTTATCATTTGGGTTGGCAATGCCAGCTTTTTACTTGTTTACATTTATTTTTAAGCTGTAGAATGTAGTGACCCACTATGCACAGGACCTAGTACAATTCTTCTTCTAGATGTGTCAGAAAGCATGAGAGGAGAACCTATCAGACAGGCTGTAGAAGCAGCTGAGGAATATATTGATGGCAAGTAAATAAAAACACAAAAAGTTGAAAAAAATGTTTCTTTTTACAATTTTGAAATGTTTTCAACACAATTTCTACCAAACTTTTGATGAAGTGAGTAACATTTATCATATGCTGAAATTGGATGGGAAACTTTGTAGCAGAATTCTATTGTAATCACTAAATACTCATGTATTCAATAACTAAATAATATTGTTTTCACTTTCAAATACTTAATGTATTATGGATTCATTTATTTTCGTAGATACCAATTTAAATTGGATATCGATTTTCGTAGGTAGAGGAAAAACCTTATTTTTGTGGAAACTTTGATCAAGTGGTTTTGTTTAAGCTGTATATGTATAGACTATTTGTACTCTGTTGAGTATTTAAATTCATTGTTTACCTTTACCCACAATCCACAATAATTGGTATCCCACAAATAATAATGAATCCACAGTGTTGGCTAAATACTAATGTATTCACTATTATATATAAACTAGATACTAATGTATTCACTAACTAAATACAAATGAGCCCGACTATAGCACTGTGCAATGTTTTTTTTATTTGCTCTAATCATGTTCATTTTATTTATTTACTACCATCTTTTGGTTTGTATAAAACGCACCCATGCATAGTACGCACCCGCCTTTTCACTCTTGAAACTTGAGAAAAACAGTTTCTTCTTATGCTTTACACGCAGGGACTTTCTGGAAAAATCCCATCTTGAAACTCGGTAAAATGCGTCCATTGAAAAAGATTTCTTTTTCGGGGACAAATTGAACTCCAGTCCTGGTTGATTAAAACAGGATAATGAAAACGTTGTTGCAGAATAAATAACTTAGCAAACGATGTTTGATTCTTTATTGTTTCCACGGATGAGAACAACAGGAAGTGTTAAATCGGGAAGTTGTTTAAATGCAAATCGTAGTCGTTGAATCTTGTGCTGAATATGGATTCATTACGAAGATTCTTTAATACACAATAAATAAATAAATTGTAATATTTACGTTGATAAATTAGTGCTAAAATAAATATCAATCTCTGCTGATTTCATTTATTGTTGGTTGGTATGTACTCATTGAATCGTTAAATCCGGATTATGATATCACACTCTTATTGATAATCAATTAGGAAGTCTAATCCAAGTAATCATTGTCAAAACAAATCAATTGAGAAGATTCACTTTGTTCCTCAATCAAATTCGTACAGGTATTAAAATGGCATTTTAAAAACATGCTTACAATTTATGATTTGTGTGAAGGTTTTTATAGAGGTTTTTAAAATGTCACAAAGTAAAAACGTATAAAATCATCACTTTATTCAACAACTTCATAAAGTTAAAGTCACATGACATGATCACCTGATACTACGAAAGTAAAAACAATGGCGGTCACTATCATCAAACGAGCGTGTTTCATTCAATTTTCATACATTCACCCTCTGTATTCCTTGTTAGAACATATCAAAAGTAAGTTATAAACTCGAGAATCACCTACACTTAATTTGCCATTGACAGAATCATCTCTAATTGGGATATCTCCAAATACAACTTCAGGGCGACAACATAGAACAGACACAAGAAAACGAAAAAAACATAACTACTAAAGCATTTAAATGATTTTTATTTGCATATAACATTACAAATCATATACTAGAAGGTACAAATATACATTTAAAACATAACAACAATCAATTTGTTTTGCAACGAAAATATTTTCTTCCTGACCACCTGGTTTCATGCCCGAGTTTCGTACCTGAAAAATAGTCTAAAAATCAATGTATGCATACATAATACGCAACCCCCTTCTTAGAAATCTATCCCAGGGTAAAAATCCGCATACTATACACACCTAAAGACATTATACACCAAAATTCCCTCAATTATTTCAGTGTTTACTATTAACTACATTGTATGAAAATTGGTATGCCTGTCCCAAGTCAGGAGCCTGTAGTTCAGTTGTTGCCGTTGGTTCATGTCTGTCATATTTGTTTTTCGTTAATTGTTTTGTTATAAATTAGGCCTTCAGTTTTCTCAATTTAATTGTTACATATTTTTCATGTCGGGGCATTTTATAGCCGACTATACGGTATGGGTTTTTCTCATTGTTGCTTGCATCCACTTTATTTGAACTTTGGTGGATAGTTGTCTCATTGGCAATCATACCTCATCTCCTTATTTTCATATGTATACCAGTAATGAAAAATACTGGATACTATATTTTTCTGTATACAAATATGGATAGTTAAAATTCTATATTGACAATACATAGTGAAATCAGTGTGTAACTCCAAGAGTGATCAAAAGAAGAAAATTAATGAATCAGAACAACAAATATGTTGTAAATCTCTATTTTTTAAGCTGTTGTCATTTTCGTCTCCGTTATCTGCACACACATTAGTTTCTATGCTGTAATTTTCAAAGTTTTGTTCTACCAGAACCTTTCCTATAACATTTGAAATATAAAAATACGGAGAAGGTGTATGCTTGCCAATGAGACAACTGTCCATTATGACAGAAGGACAAAGATTTGAACTATTCCAGAGAAATCTATAAACAAAATTAAAAACCATTTGGTCTCCAATTGAAGGTCTTTCCATCAAAATTCACTGAATACAAAAAAAAAAATGGAGAAGAAATAGTATGTCTGGTGTTATTCTGGCAGGTTTGATCTGACGTTGACCTCATTTTCATATACTATAAGCATTAGGTCAACTATATTTGGTGTATGCTATGATTGTAAGGTATAAATATGTCTGTCTGGAAGGTATCTTGCCTTAGACCTTATTGTCATGGTTTATTGGTCCATGTTAAGTTTTTGTGTTTTGGTCTGTTTTCCAATAGACAAGCATATACAAGCAATAAATCAACTATATTTGGTGTATGGAATGATTGTAAGGTGTACATGTCTGTCTGGCAGGGTTTATCTGACCTTGACCTTATTGTCATGGATCAGTATTTATGTTTTGTGATACTTGTAGTAAGTTTATGTGAGTAAAACTTTTATCTTTAAGGCTTTCAACATAACATCAATCATGGTCAGTATGGCAGGCGAGACATTTCAGAGTGTTTACTCTTGTTTTTATATAAGGTTTATTTGAAAAAATTAAGTAATTTTGAATATTCACGATTTATAAGGTCAGAACAATAATAGATCCAGCTATTATTCAGTAATAGGTTAAGATATTAGAAATCTGAGACACTGTTTAGGTGCTTGTATCCTATGCTGATATTTATGCAAAATAAAACTACTTGTTTGCTACAAAACTAAAAATGCTAATTATGAAAATAAGAAGTTAAAAAAATATTTAAATTTTCTCCTTATATGGCACCTTTTTAATATTTTCTGATTTGTAATATGGCTAACAGTACTAGTGTGTTTATGCAGTAGCTCAATGATTCTTCTTTCTATTGACACCTCATTTGTCTTTATATCTAAGCCAATGGCAAAGATACAGCATTTCAAATATACACTTATTTGATTCAAGCGCACTGATGAGTCTTAAAAAATGGACATCTGGTGTACCAAATATTTTAGTTAAAAATAAAGTTTGATGTTTGAAAATGTCTTCAAATAAAGACATATTACATATAATGATTACAAATAGACATAAGTACAGGAACAATAATGATTATGCTTATTGTAGTTAACTGTAGCAGTTGTTTTCTTATTGTAAAACATTTATAACAAGTCAAAGCCACAGTGTTGTATATTTTTATACGACCGCAAAATTTTTGCGGTCGTATATTGGTATGACGTTGGCGTCGTCGTCGTCCGAAGACACATTGGTTTTCTCACAATAACTTTAGTTTAAGTGAATGGATCTCTATGAAATTTTACCATAAGGTTCAATACCATAAAAGAAGGTTGGGATTGATTTTGGGGGTTATGGTACCAACAGTTAAGGAATTAGGGGCCAAAAAGGGGCAAAAAATTAGCATTTTTGTAACTTCCAGACAATAACTTGTGTTTAAGTGTATAGATCTTTCTGAAATTATACCACAAGTTTCCATACCACAAAGGGATGGTTAGGATTGGCTTTGGGGGGGTTATGGCTCAAACCGTTTAGGAATTAGGGGCAAAAAAATGGAAAAAACAAGGGTTTCCTGGTTAATGGATAATTTAAAAGCACTGTAAGGGAGGTAATCCAAAAACAAAATTGTACAATGTTGGATTACCTCCCTTACACTGCTTTTTAATTATCTATTTAGGACTTTTATGATGTAATTGGTAATTATGGTTATTTTTTTATTTCAAATATTTTTTTTTTTTGCAAAAAAAAGGGGGGGGGGGGGGGTGGGGGGGTCAATTCGCAACAGCATAGTGTATTGCACAAAAGCAAAAAATTTAATATAAATTCAAATCATATAACCAATTCTTAGTTCTGTGACTACAGTTATTCAGTGTCAGAAACCTATTATGTGTCAAATATTTAGTTACAATCCAAATTCAGACCTGTATCAAGCGCAAACATTGTGTCCATTTTCGCCCCAACTGTTCAGGTTTGGACCTCTGCAGTCGTATCCAGCTGCGCTCAGTGAACCATTTTATTTTATGTTCACATGAAAGAAATTAAATAAATCTGATATCTATATTTTGGAATTTTCAAATTATTATATATTTCTTAAAGCAGAATCTAACTTAACTTGCGTTTTGTATGAATGCCGGACATTCCATCAGAAAATAAATTTGATCTTCAATTGAATTTAGAAAAACAAACAAAAATTTACAGATTTATTTATCTTTGTCAATCTTTCTATAACAACCCTGCTCAATAGCTATATTATGAGCATTAATTCACATTTGAGTAAGGGGCTTTCTAGTTTCAAAGTTCTTCACCACATTTAGATAAGTCTCTTTTTTGAAAATAAGTGAGATTGCTCATTAAGATTCATTCATTTATATCTTCATAGGTCGTATAGTTTGATATATAATAAAATTAGATGGGGAATTGAAGCAAGAAAACCTAATAGGTTATGACTCATATCAGCTGCTTTTTTTCAGGTCTGGAGCAGAATAAGACAGATTATGGTTTAGAGGAGAACTTGGGATTAATTGTATTTCATGGTGACACCTTTGAAGTTACACACCTTACAAGTGATTACAGTAAAATTAGGAATGTTATAAGTATGTTACTCTTTTGGTAGACCATGATATCTCAACTCTCATTTTTTAACTTTATATTGTTTATATAAACTACCTAATATAATCATTGAAAGTAATTATCAGAAATTCATGCTGCTGTACTTTGAAAGCACAAGTGTTGTTGACTAATACAAAAAATACATAATTACAAATCAATAATCTCAGACATTGATATTGAAACAATGCTCTCTCTATTCTGGAAACTGCGAAATTCAAAGTTTAAAAATGTCTTGAACATTGTCTAAGACCCAGAGGTCTTTTATGAAAAAGAAGTATAATAATAGCTGACCAAATAATGTTTTTTAGTTCTTTATGACAGTCAGTCTTGTACCAGTATTTGTGTTCCCAATTTTTAATCATTTAGAAATGTTGATTTTGTGAACTTTAGTTTTTCTTCATGAATTTTGATATCTGTACAGGTATTGTTATCAAGAAAATTATTTTAATTGTCACATTTTTATCAGGTGAATCCACTATATCATGCCACCTTGCTTCCTATGCTGAATTCTGCAATTTTGAAACAATTGAAGTCTTTTCACCTTACATACAAATCGTCTATGAAAACTGCAAACTTTCTGAACTGGTCCTAAAGAAATCAGCATACATTTTATTCAGGTTGCCAGAAACTAAATGATGTTGAGGAAAGCACTTCAAGATTGAAATTTAAATACACACACATCTTTTGACAGCTCAAAAAATTACATATGACAGTTATATCTATATATTACTTTTCATTGATTTAAGTCTTAGACACTATGCAACATACAATGTATAACTTTGTGTAAGAATGTAATTAATGGGAGTTTATTACACTTATTGCAATGAAATACAGTGATTTCCTAGTCAAATAAAAACGGATAATTTCACATGTGAAATAAATCCGGTAATTTCACTCCTCTGACGTCATATATCAATGGGTGTTGTCAAGACATTGTCTATGACGTTGCATCAAATTTTATTTAGGATGCTTAGAACAGTTGGAAAGCAAGTCCTTAGAAACGTCCGTTGTCGTCAAGCTCTATCAGCAACAATGGCAGGGGGAATTAATTAGGTGGTCCTACAATCGTTGGTGACGTCAAAAAATCCACCAAAGCAATCAGCTAAAAAATCGACTTTTAAACTATTTTTTTCAAATTGTCATGCTGTTATCATAATTGATTTTTAAAGTTTTTAGGTTTTGTGAGCAATATAGTTTCAATACGACATAGAAACATTGTCCAAAATAACTTTTATTTGCTATTTCTTTATCCTGTCCGTTCTAAAAACTATCAGCCATCTTTTTTGTTCGCCAAAAACATCGAATTTAAATAACTTTACGTTTGCGTATCCAAATACGGAAAAGAACAATAAAAATCTTAAATGAAACCGGGTAACCTATTTCAAATTTCGACACAATTATGAAGCCATCATTTTTTACTGTAATACATCAATTTTAGTGACCACCAGTCATGTCAATTTGTAGCTGGTTTTGGCTTTGTTTCTTGTTTAAAACAGTGAATGTTCAACTTCTTTTCATTGTACCTGTTTCCAAAGTACTCTAAAATACTGATTTTAGTAGAGATATGAATGAAATTGTGATTAAAAATTGTTGTTTTTCACAATTCAATACGATACTTCCATTTCAAAGTAACTAAAACCCTTCTTGATCCCCTACACAAATTGACGGTGACATTGTTTTCTTTTGTCAACACACGTCATATAACGTTAACAAAATATGTGTCAGGGTCATGTGCATAGTGAAAATTTACACATTGGAAAAGTGAAACAAAGATCATTTTTATTGCGTTTGAAACTGTACGTCTTAGAAAATTTCATTCATACTGGATACAAATCTGACAAATTAATGATGGCCTATGGATGGACAAAAGCACGTAATTGCGTAGTGGACATGAGCTATACTGAAATACAAAAGGATAAGTTATGAAATGAAAAACTGAGATTTGTTTGAAGAAAATTGTTTGAGTATAAAGTTGAGGTTTCAAACTGTTTCTACTCTAAAAGCCTGATTGGAGTTAGCTGCCTTTGGTATAAAAAGATTGAGATCAAGCATATCTTGAATATGATAGCCAATGACCAAACCATATAAACTAATGTAATTGGTTTTCCAAAATGGTTTTAATTCGGGATTAACAAATAAGATTATAGCTTAGGTTTTGAACTATTTTCAAACTGGCTACAAAAACAAACCATGATTCATTTCATTAAACTTTTTCAAAATAAAGACTGTTTTCTCATTTGCATGTGGTCTTTAGCCAGGAAGCGACCTCTAATTTCCAAAACAGCACATCAGAATGGAACATACAGTGGTTGCTTCCTATTTAGAATGTTGTAATGTTATCTATTGGAAGAGAGAGAAATGATTTCTTTAACAAAAAAATTATGCCCAACATTGAACAGCTGAGTGAGTTTCATTAAGAATCCATGTCAGTTTTTCTACATCTTATATAAAAAATTAAGTAAAATGATGCATCTTTATATAACAATTATCTGATCTTTCATACCATACAGGCATTAAAGTTCACAATTGCATTTCTTTTTTTTAAAGAAGCAACTTATAATGTTTTTCCTAAATATAAACTGCAAACATGATTTAGGATGAGAGGTACATTCTGGTATATATTATGTCTTCAATTAAAATATTTTAGGCAATTTGGAAGATGTGGGAGGATCCTCACCATTGATAATGACACTTGCAGTTATTCAGGGAATGGCTGCTAGAGGTAATTTTTATATTACTATAATTATTTATATGATGTCACTCAATTTTTAAAAACCACCCCAGTGGTGTAGTAATAGCATGCTCGCCCTGAGTGTTGGACTAATGTCTTGAAAATTGTTAATTGCTGTATCTCTTCTAAGCAATCATCTTGGGAGTTGAAATAACATGTCTGGGGGAGGGAGACATGTCTTCCTGTGTACTGTTGCCTTGTGAACTAGCACTTTAATTACTATTCAGCGTGTTAGAACAAACTACCGTAGATTTCAAATCAATAGTTAATTACAATCAAAATTCAAGCTTAAACATAGTGTCCATACTTACCCCAACTGTTCAGGCTTTGACGTCTGTGGTCGTATCAAGCTGTGCCCCACAGAGCATTTTATTTTCTTATGTAAATTACTTACTAATAGATAATAAGTGTCATTAGTTTTGTTAGTTTTCTTACTTCTTTAGTCATTGCTATTTAGTAAATATAAAAATAATAAGATGTGGTATGATTGCCAATGAAACAACTCTCCACCAGAGACCAAAAATCACTGATACACTACAATTAAGATTGAAACGCATATTTTGTGTTTTGCCTATTATCCTGAAAACTACAAAAGATAGATAGACACTTTAAATAATAATAATAATAATAATAATAAATTCTTTATTTAAAGAGGGTAAACTCAGTTAGTTACAATAAACTAATCTTCCCTGAGGCCCTCACATACAAATTACAATACAATCAAAAACAGATATTTACACATAGTTAATTTACAGTCAATTAGTTCAATGTAATATTACTAACATGATAAGATATAAGGCTGTTCAAGATGCACATGTAGTCAAAAAATCAAATAAAAATAAAAATAAAAGAATATACAAATACATTATAGAAAACATAATCTTATCAGGACTGTGTTAAGTACTTCTTGATAATTTGTTTAAAAGTATAAGTGTTTTGAGCTTTACGAATTTTGTGTGGTAGTCCATTCCATAACACTGAAATAGCAAAAATGAAGTAAGACAAGATCTACAAATTAGTCAAATTTTGCAGAAATCGCTAGTAGACTATTTATAGGAGTGGTTACATGCCTTTAAATGACAATTTTTTACCCTTTTTGTGTTTTGGGCAAAAATAAAAGAAGATAGAGAGAAACTGTTAACAGAAATTCTATTCTAGTCCACAATGTTAGTGAGTGTCTATTGTTGAATATGCACAAACACCTAGGTGAATGACACAGGCTATTTAGAGCCTCTAGTTGTTCATTCTTATCAAATCAATAATAAATTAAAAACCAATTGTTCAGAGAACAATTGAAGGTCTTTCCACATCGATTTTCAAAGTTATTGAAAAGAAGCTAGTTCCTGTTTACTTAAAGTTAAAATTTGCATCCAATAATAAGTTTCCTTATACTGATACGATAAATTAGTGGTTTATATTTACTTTTGAGTGAAATAAGGAAGATAATTAATTACTTCCGGTGAAGTAAATGTCACTTCCGGTCTCATATGATAGCTTCTTTCAAACTCATTCCAAAAATATATAGTTTCTATATACTTTAGCCTGTAAAACAGGAGATAAGTGGCCACTTCCGGTTGATCGTAAGTCACTTGTGGTCATTAGTGAGAAGTTTATGTATCTATATTATAAAAAATATGGATTCTGAGTACTTTTCCATGAAAAAAGTACAAAAATGACTACTTCCGGTTTTCTCAAGGTCACTTCCGCTTGTCATTTTTCAAGGTCATATGTCACCCAACCTTTTGTAAAAGGTCATATGGCTTTATAATGAAACAAGTTGAAGAAATAATCAATTAACCTTATAATTAAACATTTCAGGGACAGTAACTCCTATAAGATGACATTGGATTGTTTCAGACCAAATGTAACATATCTTCATTACAATAAAGCAAACATTTTGCGCCTGTTTTTTTATATATACCTTTAAAAGTGTATGAGAAAATGCGAAAATAAGCAAAAGTCAAAATTTAGAACTTGACCTTGACCTTTGACCTTGACCTCATTTTCTAAGTTTGGACCTAGGGACCTCAAATAAAAAAGTTCCAGGGTTATATGGTTAAAAGTTTATAAGTTAGAAAAACATACTGACAAATTTATTTTGTAAAGGTAGATAACTCCTATAAAATTTCATTGAATCGCTTCGATCAAAATTAGCCAAAAATTCCTGAGAATATAACGAGCAATTTGTAAAAAGAATTTTGTCGATATCTTTTTTTGTTACGAAGGAGATGCACACAGATGATAAACAGTGAATAGGGAGATAACTCTTGCAAAGAAAACGGTTCGGCTTAGCAGGGTGAAATTTAAAAGCGCATGAACTATACGATACAATATGAGAAATATCTAAGCGACATATTGCGAAACAAACATTTATCGCAAGAACAAAATTTGGCGGAAGAAAAAAAAAAAAAAAAAATAATAATAATAATCAGAACAAATACAATAGGTCTTTCCACAGAAAAGTGGAAAGACCTAATTAAAAACCAATTGTTCAGAGAACAATTGAAGGTCTTTCCACCAAAAACCATGAATTTTAATATGAAAGTAGTAAAATTAGGTTAAAAATGTCATTTCAATGGTCAAATGATAGCTTATTGTACGCTGATTCCAAAAATATATGGTTTCTATACAATATTTTTTTAAATAAGGGAGATAATTTGTTACTTCCGGTTTGAAAAATGATACTTCCGATACTATCTGAATATTTACTTGACACTGATTCCAAAAATATCTGGTTCTATATACTTTTATATTAAGAAAGTACAAAATATAGCTACTTCCGGTTTACACAAGGTCACTTCCGGTTGTTTTTTCAAGGTTAAATGGTTTGATACCTATTGCCAAATGTCTCATGGCTTTATCATGTATACATATATGAGGTAAAAGCAAAGGTCAAAATCTAGAACGTCAAATTAAGCTATGACCTTGAGATCAATTTCAAGGTCATAAACCAAGGACCTCAAATCAAAAGACCTTAGGTCTTAATTATATTTAGTTAATAAGTTATATCACCATATGCGTATTTTTAAATACAAGAGGGGAGAAAACTCCCTTTTACGTTCAACGTACCCTTGCAATCAAAATTTACGTGTTACGACATGTCGCAAATAACAGTTTAGTAAAAATTATTTGTCGATATCTTGTACGGTTTTTGGAAATAAGTGAAAAAAAGCCAAATTCAAAATTTAGAATATGACCTTGACCTTTGACCTTGACCTAATTTTCATTTTTTTGGACCAAGGACCTCAAATCAAAAGATCCTAGGTCTCTATCACTTATGGTTTACAAGATAGAAATGCATATCACTTATATCAAATGCATAAGGGGAAATAACTCTCACAGGTGTGTAGCTCTCTATACGCCAACACGCAGTTGCATGCACTTCAGAATGCTGAAAAAAATAAAAAGGGCAAAAAAAAAATATGAATAAAATGTTTAAAGGAAACACATATATGTTGTCGCTTTTTTAATTGATGAAATGTCATTAAATAACGGCATTTGGTTTTAAAATGAAAGTTTTATTTAGATCATGACGTTTCTGGTATGTATACGCACATAAGATGTCCGGCGTTGAACACGACATGACGTCGAAACGTAGCGAAAAAGGTGAAAAGGCTAAATGGAAAACTATTGACAATTTTTACTAAACCCGTTTCAACAGAAACGAAAGATTCTTCAGAAGAACCCATTTCCCAACAATCCTTGCCAGAGTCTGAGAGAATAAATCATGATAGTGAAAAAGCAAATGCAAGCTCCAGCTCAGTTTCGACCTCCAAAGCCAACACCCCTCCGTACCCAGACATGTCAAGTTTGCACGATTCCAATTTGCAGATGACAGAAGTTAAGATGCAATTACTAACACCCAACTAGAAAGATGTAAATAATTTTGACTTCCAGGCGAGGTATGTTGATTTTAATTCTTCCAAGTCACTCTAAGTGTGTAAAACATTTCCCAAAATCATGGAATAGCATATGCCAGGGGTAGCTCTTTGGATTTGAAGGGGTATGCGGAAATGAATTTAAAATTGTGTCCAATTCATTAGTAGAAATCATGTCTGAGTCAAAAGTATACCGGCAAAAAAATAAATAGTGTTATGAAAATCCCTACCCGAAAAACAGTCAATTTGGAAAAGTACACACGTCCTAAATTAAATTGTTAGTAACAGACCCGAATTATTATTATACTAAAGATTGTGTAAATTACAACATTTGAACCTGAATTTATCGTAACCCAGTGCTGTATCCTTCTGTAGATACTATTTTGAGTATTATGTTGACAATGCACCCCTATAACAAGTGCTACCGCGGAGACTTCGTTCAGTATACTACGTCGGTTGAAAACATATGTACAATCAACCACGAATAACGATAGGTTATTATCGCAAGCATTAATGCATATTCATCGGGATTTCAGTGTGACAAAGTAATGGAGAAGTTCGTTTCTGCTAAGACCCGAAGAGCAGATTTTGGACAATTTTGAGTAAATTCTGTCTCACAAAAATGTGTTGCTTATGTATTCAATTTACCATGATTTACACTATTCAAAAGAATTCTGAATAGTTTTTCATTCATGAATTGTCTATAATCCTATGTAACAACTCTTTAAACCTTCCTACGACCGAAAAACCGAAAAAAATATCAATTTCTACATAAAATGGTCCAAAAAAAATTTGATAGGCGTGCACATCATGTTAGTCTAGCTACGCCCCTGCTCTCATATGGAGCGTTCATATTGCTTCGGTCAAAATAGGACAAATCATGCCAAGGATATACTGAGCAATTTTATAAAATAAATTTGTCGCTTTCTTTTTTAAGGTTATGGAGGAGATGTAGTCACAAGGAAAACAGTGTTTGGGGAGATAACTCTTACAAAGAAAATTGTTCAGCTTAGCATGGGTGAAAATAAAAAGCGCATAAACTATATTAGAAATATCTTAGCGACATATTGTGAAACAAAAATGTTACGCGAGAACAAAATTTGGCGGAAGAAAATAATAATAATCAGAACAAATACAATAGGTCTTTCCACAGAAAAGTGGAAAGACCTAATAATCAGAACAAATACAATAGGTCTTTCCACAGAAAAGTGGAAAGACCTAATAATCAGAACAAATACAATAGGTCTTTCCACAGAAAAGTGGAAAGACCTAATAAAAAATCAATAATTTTTCTTTTACCTTTATTTTTGCATTGCAAAAGGTTATGTTTTTCTCTGACTGATAATAAGGTCTTTACACTAAATCTATTGGAAATTGGATGAGTACTGATTGATATTTGACTCTTAGATACATACTTTTCTTATTAGTTGTTATTGGCTTTGAACTAGCTTTCAGTAACTGTGAGTACTCTCAGATCTGTGCTTTGTGTCTTTTGTGTTTTTGTTAGTTGTTTTTGTGCTTTGCATCAATCTAATGAGTTTCAGTGAGCCCTTTTCAACCGATTATTATTCGAGGCCTTTTAAAGCTTCTATACGGTATGGGTTTTGCTCATTGTTGAAGGCCCTATGGTGACCTATAGTTGCTTACCTTCTACATCATTAATGAAATAACGTACTGAAATATTTTTGGTCAATTATACTTATGGATAGGCAATAAATGTGAACAGTGGAATTAGTTAGGTATATACATCCGTCCTTCCATCTGAGGAGGAAGATCTGGAAATAAAACTTTCATTTTGAAAGTGAAAGTAATATTTTATATCAATGTGGCATATTTTTTACATGTGAGTATTTCTTGCTCCTTGGTTTTAAATTTATTTGAAATTACTTAGCCACTTTGAACCAGTTTTGACAGTAATAATGTATATGTTTTCATTCCTAAGAATTATATCATTATCTGTAGTCATTATCATGATGATACCCTGTGTATAAATATAACATTGTAAGGATATGAATAGAGGTAGATGTGCATACATCAATGAAAAATCTTTTTTCCCTGCCCAACCATGAAAATTTCTGTCATTTTAATATTGCCTGGGTAGCCCTTTCTTTTATTTTGTCACATCCCATTTAAATCTACTAGTATGTCGAAATTTAAATTTACTATACTTTTGTGTTTGATTATCAGAAACATCATAAATAAAGCAATTATTGGGGATTGGGACTCTTATGATTTTATTGATTGAAGAGGGGAAGAGGGGTAGTGCATATGACCTTAGTCACATGAGTTGATATATTGGGTAGAGTTCACCAGGCAAGAGGAATCATTGACTATGGAGTCAATTTTCAAATTAAGCAAATCAAAGTACTGGTAAATCACCTGGATTGACAATCATCCTCATCAGGAGCCAAAAAACAAAATTTGGTAGACTCGAAGAGGGATAAAATAGATCAAAAAGAGTTTAAATAGAATAACCAAAATCATTTACTGTCAGCCTTGTTTGAGGATTTGCAACCAACGCGTTGCCCGAGGGACATAGAAATAATGGGCGTCCATCCATTCTTCCTTCCTTCCGTCCGATCTTGTTAGCTCTCTCACGAGTACAATTCTTGCCAGATTTTTCTGAAATTTATACCATAGATTTATATCAGCAATTTCTTGGACGAGTTCGAAAATCAGTGCTGATCAATTATTTTTAAAAGATTTATTTTCCTTTAAAAACATTAGTTGTATGGAAAATTGCATTCATGATAGCGCTCTCATGTGTACAATTCTTGCTAGATTTTTATGAAACTTACATCATAGGTTTATATTAGCAATGTCTTTTGCGAGTTCGAAAATCAGTGCCTATCAATTATTTTTAAAAGAGTTATGCCCCTTGGAAATATTAATTATATGGAAAATTGCCTTGTGAGTGCTCTCATGTGTACTATTTTAGTTATTGCCCTTGTACCTTGGATAGATCAAATATGTGCAACGCGGGGGGACATTGGAATTCTGTTCTTTTATTTTTTTTAATTTCAACTGTGAAGAGGAGCTTATAGTTCCTAATTAAAATTGTGATTTTCTTTCAGCTAAAGATGTAAAAAGAGAGCTTATAGTTCATAATTAACATTATGATTTTTCTTTCAGCTAAAGTTGTAAAGATTGAAGAACATGAAATTTTAACAAGGGCTATTATTTTTTCTGACTGTATTGTAACACCACCAGGCTTTGATGCAACACAAGAAGAATATGTCAGAGAGAGAGTCCAAAAAAGTGTAGGTGACAAAAAATATATTATGTACTGGATTTTGGAAGATGGTTATAAGTTAGTTTTCTTTAATTTTTATATGACCGCAAAAAATTTTGGCGGTCATTTATTGGTATGACGTTGGTGTCGTCGTCGTCGTCGTTGTCTGAAGACACATTGGTTTTCGCACTCTAACTTTAGTTTAAGTGAATGGATCTCTTTGAAATTTTACCATAAGGTTCAATACCACAAAAGGAAGGTTGGGATTGATTTTGGGGGTTATGGTACCAACAGTAAAGGAATTAGGGGCAAAAAATAAGCATTTTCTAGTTTCCAGACAATAACTGTGGAACGGTGTATGGATCTCTCTGAAATTATACCACAAGTTTCCATACTACGAAGGGATGGTTAGGATTTGCTTTGGGGGGTTATGGCTCAAACCGTTTAGGAATTAGGAGCAAAAAAGGGGGAAAAACAAGGTTGTCCTGGTTAATGGACAAATACTTTAGTACAAAACATAATTTAAAGCAGTGTAAGGGAGATAAATCAAATACATCATTTGAATTACCTCCCTTACACTGCTTTTAAATTATGTATAAAGTAATGGTTAATGAACAATTAAGATAATTTAAAACAGTGTAAGGAAGGTAATCCAAATACAACGTTTTGGTTACTTCCCTTACACTGCTTTTAAATTATGTTTAAAGAAATGCATAATTATAAAGGAAGACCAGTAAAAATATCTGTAAATGTTGCATCTTTTTTTTTTTTACAAAAAAATCCATATGAAAGATTTGACACCATATTTTAAATTCTATTATAAAATAGATTAAGTTAGCACTATGGTAAATTTAAATGAGTAATTATGGTTGCAAACTCCATTGGAAATTTGAATTGAGATTATGACCATATCTTGAGGGAAAGAATTTTTTGGGGGAAAAAGGGGGGGGGGGGGGGTAAAAAGAAATTGTGGGGGTCAATTTTTTCTCATTTCAGATTTCAGAAATTAAAAAGAATTATTCTTCAAATATTATTTTTTTTTCAAATTTCAAATATTGAAAAATTTCAAGAAGTAATCTTTAATTGCACAGTATGGCGCATTAGATTTGTAAAATCTTTGACCACATTTATTTATTTGTTATGCCGAATCTAACCGTGTATTAAGATTTTTAATTTTGGGTCCAGTTTTCAAATTGGTCTACATTAAGGTCCAAAGGGTCCAAAATTAAACTTTGTTTCATTTTAAAAAAAAATTGAATATATGGGGTTCTTTGATATGCTGAATCTAAACATGTATTTAGATTTTTATACGACCGCAAAAAAATTTTGTGGTCGTATATTGGTATGACGTTGGCGTCGTCGTCGTCGTCGTCGTTGTCGTCGTCGTCGTCGTCGTCGTGCGGCGTCGTCGTCCGAATACACATTGGTTTTCGCACTCTAATTTTAGTTTAAGTGAATTGATCTCTATGAAATTTTACCATAAGGTTCAATACCTCAAAAGGAAGGTGGGGATTGATTTTGGGGGTTATGGTACCAACAGTTAAGGAATTAGGGGCCAAAAAGGGGCCAAAAATAAGCATTTTTGTAACTTCCAGACATAACTTGTGTGTTAGTGTATGGATCTCTCTGACATTGTACCACAAGGTTCCATATCACAAAGGGAATGCTGGGATAGATTTTGGGGGTAATTGCCTCCAAATTTTAGGAATTAGGGGCCAAAAAGGGGCAAAAAACAAGCATTTTTCTAGTTTCATGACAATAACTTGTGTTCAAGTGTATGGATCTCTCTGACATTGTTCCACAAGGTTCCATATCTCAAAGGGAATGCTGGAATTGATTTCGGGGGTAATTGCCTCCAAATTTTAGGAATTAGGGGCCAAAAAGGGGCAAAAAACAAGCATTTTTCTAGTTTCATGACAATAACTTGTGTGTAAGTGTATGGATCTTTATGAAATTGTACTACAAGGTTCCATATCACAAAGGGAAAGCTGGAATTGCTTTTGGGGGTAATTTCCCACAACGTTCAGGAATAAGGGGCCAAAAAGGGGCCAACAATAAGCATTTTTTCCAGACAATAACTTGTTCAAGTGTATGGATCTCTCTGAAATTGTACTGCAAGGTACCATACCACAAAGGAAAGGCTGGGATTGATTTTGGGGTTAAATCCCTAGAAATTTGAGGAATTAGGGACCATAAAGGGGCAAAAAACAAGCATTTTTCTAGTTTCAGGACAATAACTTGTGTGCAAGTGTATGGATCTTTATGAAATTGTACTGCAAGGTTCCATATCACAAAGGGAAAGCTGGGTTTGAGTTTGGGGGTCATTGCCGTAAATGTTTAGGAATTTTGGGCCAAAAAGGGGCCAAAAAATAAGCATTTTTCTAGTTTCCAGACAATAACTTTTGTTCAAGTGTATTGATCTCCCTGAAATTGTACAGTAATCATACATGTGAACCTCCCGAAGGGAATACAATAATCCCGTTTCAGGGGTCTCCTCCCGACCTCCCGTTGAAGACAAAAAAATCCTGTGTATGAAATATTTCATGAATGAAAAATTTCAGCCCAACATATCTGGTGTAACTGACATGACCTGAAGTTATATTTTACCTGTAAATCAATTAACATGATAATTATATGGCTTCACTTGTCACCTTGGGTGTCAAACATACTGGTAATCAACGATTTTTACATCAGACTAACTGCCGTTGTGTAATAAAACTTTGTATATTTATAAATGAATGTTGGGTTACTTCCCTTGATTTATCCTGTTTTAAGTTACTTTCCTTTAAATAATGTAAATTTTTAAAAGAATATAAATAAAATATAAATTGAACAAATAATCATAAAAGGATGGTAATTAAATGATTTTAAATGTCTTAGGACAAATAGAAAAATAAAAATTTGAAAATTATTTGAGGGTTCTATACTTCCTTTCAAGGCTTAAATTGAAATTTATATATTAACTATGACCCATGTATCCAGTTTGAATGTGTTACTTATCATGCATTAAAAATCTACTTGCATAAAGATTAAAATAAAAGATCTACTTGCAGATAGATAAGCAAATATTCTGATTGCAATGAATAATGGAAAAAAAGATATGACCTAAAAAATTTAAAGAACATACTTAAAAAGAAGAATGTTAGATTGAACAAGTTGAAAGTTTAAAAAGATAGAGAAAATTTATAAGTACAAGGGTACTATAAACATAATACATTCGGATGGAAAGTTGAAGAAAGCACACTTTAACAGACAATTTCTACAGCACACGGTTACATTTACGACAGAATTTATGTCGATTAAAAACCTCGTGATCTGAGTCCTAATCTACTGACCAAAATTTCCCAAACTCCTGATCTTAGTTTCACAGTCCATCATATGTACTGCAAGGTACCATACCACAAAGGGAAGGCTGGGATTGTGTTTGAGGGTGATGAATCATAAGGGGGTTCAAAAAATTTTGGGGGGAGGGGGATTTTTTTTTCCTTTTTTTTCTTTGAAATTTTCCATTTTAAATTGGTTATTTCTGATTTATATATAAAAGCAAATAATAATGATATGGTTTGAATAGATAAATTAAAATTTTTTAAGTTCTTAGACCACATTCATTCTGTGTCAGAAACCTATGCTGTGTCAAATATTTAATTACAATCCAAATTCAGTGCTGTATCAAGCTTGAATGTTGTGTCCATACTTGCCCCAACTGTTCAGGGTTCGACCTCTGCGGTCGTATCAAGCTGCGCCCCAGCGAAGCATTTTATTGATTTTTGGCCCAGTTTTCAAGTTGGTCCAAATTGGGGTCCAAAATTAAACTTTGTTTGATTTCAACAAAAATTGAATATATGGGGTTCTTTGATATGCTGAATCTAACCATGTCTTTAGAATTTTTATTTGTGGGCCCCGCTATCAAATTGGTTCATATTGAGGTCAAAAGGGTCCAAAATTAAACTTAAGTTTGATTTTAACAAAAATTGAATTCTTGGGGTTCTTTGATATGCTGAATCTAAACATGTGTTTAGATTTTTGATTTTGGGCCCAGTTTTCAAGTTGGTCCAAGTTGGGGTCCAAAATTAAACTTTGTTTGATTTCAAGAAAAATAGAATATATGGGGTTCATTGATATGCCGAATCTAACCATGTATTTTGATTTTGGAAATTGGACCATAATAGGTAAATTTAAAAATTTTAAGTTCTTAGACCACATTCTTTCTGTGTCAGAAACCTATGCTGTGTCAAATATTTAATCACAATCCAAATTCAGAGCTGTATCAAGCTTGAATGTTGTGTCCATACTTGCCCAAACTGTTCAGGGTTCGACCTCTGCGGTCGTATCAAGCTGCGCCCAGCGGAGCATTTTATTTTGAGAATAGGATGGCAGAATTTCTGAATTAAAAAAAATAGGGAGGCAGAATTATTTGAAATTTTTCACCTGCAGCTTTATAATGTTCAGTTCTAGTGAGTAAGCAATTTGTTTACATCTGCCATGTATCCAATTCCTGTTTGCCGATAGTATGAAATTTTACAACACTCATTGTACAAGGAAAATTTTTCGTCAAAGTTTTTTTGCCTGACTTATTGAAAGAAATGAAAACAACACAATATAAAGTTAATGCATTCGTAAGGCTTTTCTTGATTTACCTTCATCAGGAATACTCATAGCCGAATATTTGAAAGCCAAGGATGCATAAGAACCGAAACAGTTGAAGAGATTTATTACCAAAAAAGACTTAAAAAAATTAGCCAATTCCCTCTAAGGTCAACTTTGCCTGAGCGAGCTGAAACCTTAATTTCTAATAACTTCAAAATTTATTAACGGACAATTATAGAAAGATTTGTTAGAAATCATGTCAGTACCTCGGTACTGACTATTGAGCTGATGATACCCTCAAAATGAAAAAACAACATGTTGTATTGAAGGTGTAACAGGAGGGGGTTAATGTCGACACCTCCTGGGACTGTAGTGGCCAGTACTCCGACCCTATTCCATCATCGGGATACCTGATATCAGATTTTGGCTGAACAGAGACAT